AATTCGCTGTCCCTGAATAATCATTTAAAGAAGCTGCACGAACTCCGTAACCTTGTGATTTCCTAGTATTTCCACAAGTTATACTAGAAAAAGGCACGTTATAACTGAGCTCCGCACTTTGCTCTCTTCCAAATCTTCTTGGTGGGATTCCCAAATTGCTTCTAGTACTTCTTCGCAGACTTTGAGGATCAATTTCACCAACTTTATTTTGTTCCATAGCGTGTTCGTATAGGATTGAAGGACCAATGTGAGTTTTCCAATAAAAGTCTTGAGAGATACTCGAAAACGGTTCAAAATATATTGCCAATAAATTCCGTGACAAAATTTTATATTGAGAAAACAAGTAAGTAACGACTCTCGAATAACAAACTCAAAGAAATCATGGCACTAGATTACAATAATTTTGAATGACATATTATGACAAATATATATACTGGACGATGAATCTTCTACAGTACTTGATTGATAATTAGCGATAAACACATATAAATGCCTTCTTTCACGAGTAGTCATAGTTATTCCTATTCAATAGATAGTGGCGAAGGGTATTATCATGAAAACTGAAGTCTTGACTGTACCAATTGAAACGTGACGGAAAGTCTGATGATTTTCGCATAGTTAGTGAAGCATCCAACATGGATGATAGTGTTGAATATATTTTCTACCACAATAATCAATCGTGAGGAGGCATTCAAGCCATTGGCTATATCTACTTCGAGATCTACCCCAATGTGCGGGAAAATTCTCAGGAAGTCACAGTTCGAGGACATCTCAGCAAATGTTTCGTCCGACGAATTGGACGAAACTGGAGGTGAGGAGGAAGTTGAAGAAGATGTCATAGATGAAAAGTCAGTTTCCTAAGAAGATGTCGTGTATTATTTCAATACTGCAAATTATGAAGATATTGCATTAAATGAAGAGGAGTCTACAAACGATTTTGAGGGAGCGAAGAGTTTATGAATAAAAACAAGTCATTTTTGAAAACTAAAATTGAGAAGAAAAGGGAACTCGACTGAAAAATGCGTAATTATGAGAAAAAAATTAAGAATTGCCGTAAGGTCATGAATATTATTGAAAAAGACATTATTGTTTTCACCAGAATAAAGGAAGCATTGGAATATTATTGAATTGAAACTACTATCCTGTCAACAGTGTGTAATTTATAAATGAGTTCTCACAACAGTACGTCTGCCTGATTTCAACATTTTTATCACATCACCATATTTGAAAACAAAAATTTCTGTACGATCTGTTTTTCATGTTAGAATTTTAAAATTCAAATCGAATGTATAGTACTGTCAAACCCACATTTTCCATGAAAAAACAATTGAACAAGATTTTCATGCCATTCGATAGAGCGAAAAATTCCTTTTTCGATAACATAATCTTCGCCAAGCAACCTGATAAAATAGATGATAAACGAAGCACTTTGATGAGGTTTTAATGTAACATGCGAACATTTTGATTTTCTGCCAATCATCATTCATTTTAGCATGTCTTTCAAATGACATTCTTTCTTGTGTATTGATGATTATGGAAATACAAATCCCTTTGATTTTGAGAAACAAATTGTTGCTCGGCGCATAGCGCTAGTGTGGTTGCGAAAAAGAGTAGGGATTTTCGATAATTATCAATGAAACAAGTTGTGTTTGTTAAGATTATTTCCCTGATTATTTCATTATTAAAACAATAATTTCATGTCATATTTAATTTTGTTCTGGTTCCCACGAAAAGGGATATCCTGCTGATACATCGATTGCTATCTATTAGTTTGACAAGCAATTAGAGACAGGACGCACAAAATATTGTCGTCTCGTAATTGGCCGGAATCGCTCGCAATATTTGAAGCGTTCAGTCTCTAGACTCAATCAATCAATCAATCAAATCTTTATTCCTTTAGACAATAATACATTGTGTCGGAAACGTCAAAATTTTTGAAAAATACATAAAACACACAATACATAGATATACAGAAACGAAATACAGTACAAAATAAAATAAAATATCACTGTACCGGACCATCCAAGAAATCTTGCACAGTATAAAAAGAATGTTGCACCAAAAATGTTTTGAGGCGCGTTTTGAAAACTTTAAGTGTTAAACTTGATTTAATATTCTCAGATAAATGATTGAAAATACGTGGTCCTATGAAGTTAGGTGCATTTTGGGCTACTTTGTATTTTCCAATTTGTGTATGAATTACGCCTTTCTGGCGAGTATTCATGTTATGAATGTCTTTATTAAGTTTGAAGTAGGTTATGTTGCAATAAATATAACATGCAATCTCAAATATGTATAAACTAGCGAGAGTCAAAATATTACTGGATTGAAAAATTTGTTTGCAAGTTTCTTTACGAAGAATGTTAAAAATGCACCTCATAATTGCCCTTTGAGCAATGAAAACATCTTTTGACTTGGTAGAGATATCCCACAAGCAGATGCCATAACGAAGGCGCGATTCAATTTGTGCATAATAGATATTTACGAGCTGGCCAACATCTAGTACTGTTTTTAAGTTCTTGAACATGTAATAGGATGAGTGTAATTTTGAGATTAGCCCCTCACAGTGTGACACCCAGTTGACGTGTTTATCGAAGTAAATTCCAAGAAATTTAGCTGTATCTTTATCGGACAAGACTGTTTTATTGAAATCCAGTTGAAATTCAACTGATGGCTGTTTATAGTTATGAAAACGAATTACTTGGGTTTTCTTACCGTTGAAATATAGATCGTGGTTATTGAAAAACTTACAAGCGGCGTCTAGTAATTTCTCGGTTTCTTGTTTTAATAAAAATGTATCAGTTGATGACTTTAAGATGGATATATCGTCCGCGTACGCAACGAAATCTGAGTGGAGTATATTAGCTTCAAATCTATTGATGTACAACAAGAAGAGAATCGGTCCCAATATGGATCCCTGAGGAACACCCATACATACCGATCCTATTTCTGATGTCACTAGTGATATCGAATCATTATGTTCAAATCTTAAAGCAACGCATTGGCTTCGATTCTCAAGAAAAGTTTTCAACCAACTATGAGGCTTTCCTCTAAAACCGTAAGATTCTATAATATCTAGTAGTTTTAGATGATTAACGCAGTCGAAAGCCTTGCTTAAGTCACATAAAACTGCAGCAGGGCATTCGCCATCATTAAGAAAATTGACAAGTGTATTGTAAAATTGCAATAAAGCTGATTGAGTGGACTTACCACTGCGAAAACCATATTGTGTGGACTTTATATTATTATGTTTATTTATGAAATGTAACATTCGGTCCAAAAAAGAATATTCAAAAATCTTTGACAAAGTTTGCGGTACAGTGACAGGTCTAAAGTTTTCGATACTATTCAGTTTTTTATTTTTCTGAATAGGGGTACCTAACCTTCCCCAATTTCAGCTTTGAGGGAAAAATCCCTTATTCAAATGACATATTTACTAGGTAAGTTATCGGTTTTATAATTATGTGTAGAACTTTTTTTATTACAAAGGCCGGTATCTCATCCATACCAGAAGATTTTCTATTCTTAATTTTCGATATTAGTAGATTAAAAAGTTCAATTTCACTAAAAGGCTGCAAAAACATAGAGTGAGAGTTGAAGTCATTCAAAGGTACTACAGCTGAGTCATCAGATACTTCAATTTGTGATACAAGCATTTTTGGACTTTCTAGAAAATAAGAATTGAAATTATTAACGATGGCCTGAGGTTGTTCAATTAACTCCCCTTCTTTAGTGATAGCTGGTGTAAAGTTGTGAGAGGTTAGGTTGAAATAGGAAATGTTTGTTTAAAGTGGCGATCATACTAAAATTCTTCAAATACAAATTAAATTTCAATGCCATCACCATTTTGTCTGAAGTTTAGTGTTGAGTGCTATTTATCCCTGAATATGAAAATATCATGACATTCATGTCGACAGCCTGCAATTTCTATGTACTTTTGTTTTATTATTGATCAAACTACCAATAAGGAAGTGAAATACAAAATCGAAAACACACCCATAAAGGTATTCAGTAGCCAATCAATCAACAGCAAAAATACAAAAACATCATGTTTTCGATTATCAACACAGATATTTAAACCACTCAAAAACATGTATTTTGAAATGAGTGTAATAATTTTCGAAATTTTCAACTTTTTCGAGAACCGAACCATAAAAAGAAGGTGTATTAAGCAGGTTTCTCAATCTTCAATGTTGATTGGAAATAGTATTAATTCCTATTTAAAATTTTGAAGAAAATGCAATAGAAAGAATGTCATTTTGAAGAATCACTAAAAGGCATGCTGATGGCGATGAATCTAAATTTTCTCATGTTTCTTCAAAAACTTGTCAAAGTGCTTCGCTTATTTGCTATTTAATTAGTGTGCTTAACGAAAGTACGATCGATGACGTCACAGTGTCGCCATATTGACTACAGAAAAATGTCTACTGCGCCGCAATTTTTAAAACGAATGTCCATTTGTGATATGTCATTAAAGATACTAATTTTTTTCGAATGGCGTGAAAATATCTACTGGCTCATTAAAATTTCCCGACCTAGTTCTATTTCCGTAAATGATATTCAATTGTTTTTTCATGGAAAATATGTGTTTCAAAGAACTATATTTTTGATCCAAATTTCAGAAGTCCAACATGACAAATAACTGAATGACGTCCTGTCCAATGATTTCGTTGTCACCCGGTATAGACGAAATTGAATCGGTGAAATGTTTAAGTTAGGAAGGGCTGACTAAGCCACACACTGAATTTTCTAATTTGTGTTTTATTATTCAGGAGCACTTTACCAGACATTTTCGTGTTGCTGAAATATGACATATGGCGGTCTGGATATTAGCTAAGTCAGTATTCAGTTCTACCAACTTTGACCTCCCATCTCAGTAGCGCGGTCTGGTGGACAATCAAAAAATGATAGCTCGCATTGTATTGCAATGTCACTAGATCGTTTTTGATTGAATAGAATTGGAATCTTACCTTGGCTGGAACATTAGCTCTTAGATAGACCGACAAAGCCAAGGTTGGATCTGCTGGCTTCACAAGATCACCAAGTTCTTCAGAGCACTCAAGTTTTTCTTCTTTCAGCCATTTCTCTAGAAGCTGCTTACGGCCTTGCAACAACACAGGCTTACACAACTCCAGCGATTCATATCTGCAAAAGATAATACAGTGATTATTTGGATATGTTATCCAAGCTTACTGACCTATTCAATTGTCCCTGATCTAGAAGGATTCCAAAATACTGAAGTAATGGACTGTTCTGTCCTGCTTGAGTTGGTACTTGTTGAAACATTTGAATTGTAGCTGGGGTTCGCAGAATTCCTATGAAAAATTTTCAAAAATGTTATTTTTGTCGAATATATTTTCTGTCTATAGTCAAATACCTTTAGGAGCATTTGCAGCTACCTTTGCTGCCTCGGCATACTGACTGTTCTGGAATAGCATCTGGAATTTACTGACGAATAATTCTTCTGCTCCTGCCAAATTGTTTCTTGTGGCAAGTCGCAAGGCCAAATCGGGATTATGAAGAACTGTATTTATGTACCGAATGATGCATTCTTCATCGACCGATACAGATAGAACCTGACCTCTTCTGTTGACACCTATAATAAATTGATTGGATTTAAATTTCCTTCAATGGCAAAATTTCATTTGTTCAAGGAATTTACAAATGTTTGCATCTTGTTTTTCTTCTTCAATACCTTTGATCAATTTCTTTTATTGTTATTTCTTTTAGTTGGTACACAATTTTTTTATGATTTGTTATATGTATGGTTTTTATTACATCTGTTTAATTGATTATCCAGAGAATCCAAGGTAATTTCACGTTTATATTGATTGATTATCGTTTAAACATCAAAGAACCATTCTTATACCAAATCAACAAAAAATGGGAACTGTTTACAGACCATTGTTAAAAAAACAATAATTACATAAAATTCAAATCCCAAGAAGGTAGTAACTGTCGAATGACATGATTAAAAAAATATCGCGATGCGAATAACATTTGGGAAAAGATCACTGCTCACACCAGAAATTCTACTCATCAAGAGCTAGTCGCTCAAGAAAGTCATAAAACGATACTAAAATAAATTTAACAGTGGCTAGAAAGTGGACGTTTCTTAGAGCTGAGAAATCACTGTCAGTTCCTTCTGTATATTCACACCTTCTGGAAAACATAAGCAGTCATGGTGGTTGGAAGGCTTTATCTTGTTTCTAATTTTCTATTATTGATTTGAGGTAAAAATCATAACAAAATAACAGAGTGAAAACTTCATTTTTCATTCAAAAGCTGTCAATTTACCCGACCCACAAAATTCAAGATATAAATTCCGAACAATTTCAACAAAGCACTCCCAATTCAAATGTACCGCTACAACTCACCAATAATTCCTCCAGTCGCCTCATGAGGTGCAGTGACAAAGATAGTTTCACTAGATATACGATTCATGTAAATGCAAGTAGCACTTTCAATGTCGTACATGTGGATATAGCCATATTTGGTTATCAGGTAGATGACATCATATTTTGCTGATACTTGCATAGCAACGGGAAAATCATTTTGTGCCTCTGGAGGAAAGAAAACGTCAACTGTCTTTTTCGGAAATGGCTGATTACCTGCAGGACTCTGGCCAACCTGTAAAGAAGATATTCTGACAATCTATAAAACTATGTACCATAAGTAATCAATTTTGGTTTTATGATTAGGTCATGTACTAAATGTAGTGACTGCCAGAAAGTATACACCTTATGAAAAACTTCAATTTGTCATGATAGTTATATTTACCTCAATAATATGCAACTTTCCACCTTGGAGTGTTCTGACGGCGAAACAAAATAATGTGGAAGGTTCAGAGTTTCCTTCCATTTTGAATGTGGCGAATGATGCAGCATGACCTTCAATCGGTTGAGAACATTTCCTCTCAACGGAATATAGCTGCATAGCACCAACAACCCGAGATTGCTGTGCACTGATACCAACCAGAAGCAGCCAGTTCTGTTTTGGATCCGTTCTATAGTTGATAATTTGACAGCCATTCAATGAGGAATGTCTACAAAGTTTAGATATTTGAAAATTATTAATTAAATTGACTGGGAGAGTAAATTATGAGAAAAATTATTGTGCAAGCATTTTTTAATACAAAGGACTAGTAAATCAAAGGTGAATTAAAAAAATTATGATGAATGTTTGGTCTGTTAGTGAAGATGAAAAATAAGAGCCTCAAAACAACAGAAAAAAAAATAGCAGACTGTGTGACTTAAACCCAGTTATTGGACCAATGTTTGTAGGAAACCCCGGTTATAGCTAGTTATTTTTTCAATATTGTTTCTTACTGAGTGTTTGTGAAAAACTGAACCCGGACTTCTTCATTTTAAATGTTGTGAACCACCCAATTGAGTTCGCGAATGCAAAATGAACTAGTTTTCACAATACAATTGTCAGCCAAACCATAATATATACTGTTTCGGCCCAACAGGCCTCATTAGTCACATTCAACCCGCTGATAAATCCGATGTAGATAAGTTAAAGGACCTGTATAAAGTCACCATAGCCACTTGCTAATTTTCCAATAATGATCGAATAATTATAGAGAATTTGTCATGAAAGACGAAAATGGTTGCGCTCTTAGTTTTTATATGAGGAGCCACTATTATAAATTGACAATTGAACTTCAAATATCCTTGCTGTGGTTATAAAATATTGTTGAGTAATTGTCGAAGACCATTTGACGGGAAAAAAATTCATAAAACTTTTTTACATATACAGAGTGAGCCAATGAAATGGGAAAGCTAGATTGCAACTACACTGTTGATGATAATGAAATGAACCAAGTTGTCTGCGAACGGAAGATTAAAGTGTAGTTTGTGAAATTATTTCATTAGGGCGTACAATTTTTTAACTGCAAAGTGTCTAACTACTATAAGTGAAATGAAGTTATTTGATTCGCTTCATCCTATACCACTGCAATTCCATGTCAGCCATTTCTTCAAAATTATATGTATACTGCACTTGGTGCAGAAATTTGGCTTCGCACCCTTCCGTGGATTCCTGGATATTCCAGGTTAAAGGGAAATGAAGAACAGAACACTTATGCGGTATTAGCCGCACTACTGTACCAGAAAAACTTCAGAAATAAGAAGTTGAAAATGGATTAGACATCTGGAGACATCTTCGAGGTATCGGTTTAGTTAAAATGCCACTCAGGATGAGAATATGTCACCCTACAGAACCTAGGAGTACACGTAATAGAGGAGTAGTCACCCTACCTAGTGTCTGGAATATCTCATGTCACGCCCTGTAAAGAGTGTGGACACACTTGTTAACACTGAAAAGTACGAATCGTCATCTTTCCCAGATTTGAATCGTCAGTTCTGCAAATGAAATAGGCATCCCCGCGAAAATGTTTTTGAATATATTTTAGATGGATAGATTTATTTAATCAGGAACCCTAATATACATATAATAAGAAGGCATATTACAATTTATATACACTTATACAGAGATGAAAAGAATGTAATACAAAATGAATGTTAATGCTAATTGAACTCCAAAAATTCTTTAAAAAATAGTGAATTCATGGTACTAAGATAGGAAGTGCCAAAAACATATATGTCATTTTTGCCATGCATATTATAATTATGAATATTTTTAATCAATGTTATGTACTTCTGAAAGTATTATGGTGCTGGTGCTATTTTGTAAATGAGAAGCATAGTGAAATAGTACAGTTAGTTTTCCACTAATAACCAACAAAGAGTCATTTTGTTTGGAAACCAATTGTAAAAATTCTAAGAATGATGGTCAACAAAGATGAGACGACATTTCAAGTGTTCATTGAAGCATCCAATTTCAATATTCATTTCAAAGAAATACATGCATATTGATATAACTATATTTTTCAATAATAAAACGCTAAATTCTGAGGACATGATACTCTCAACCACAAATTAAAGCATAACCACATGGTGATAAATCATTTCCACCATAGGTGTGTACACTATACACACAATACATAAATCATATCCTTGCATTGAATTGGTTCCGTTTCCCGCGTTTTTTATGTCATGAAATATTGTGGATTTTGATAACTATTCAAAAAATTTACAGAACTCTAAGGAAGAAATATTTTATGACAGTGAACAAGTTCAGGTTACTACTTGAAAATAATTGAATGAAATTGTTCACTTATTCAGGCCCATTCTTGCAGATTTATTATATTTGTCAGTGTCTTATGTTCTTGAGAACTATCTGCATTTGTGCGTACAGAATTACAGTAAGAGAATCCTTCATTTATTATCTACAAATTCAAACACTTACCTGTCGAACATTTTTTGTGGTATCGAGTCTCCCTCCATAGACCAATGATAAACTGTTGATTCTGTGACTAAAGCTAGTGTATTTGGACTAATCCATTTCCAGAAAATGACATCCTCTGTCATAGTATGTGCCTTCATTTTGGATTTCATTTCTATGTTGAAGATTTGAAGAGTTTTGTGAGTTTCTACCCCAGCTTTACCTGAAAAAAAAATTAAATTATAAGACAATGTCAAAGATTTCTTGGCAAATAATTGATAGTAATTATAATCCAAGGTGCAGGACACATGTTTTCTGATCGGAGAATATTGGTTCCTGAGATGCTTTAGCATCAAAGGAAATAAGTAAGGGAGGTGAGAATTGTTTACTATAGCGTAGTTGGTTTACAGATAATTTGTTCCACTACCTACTGGTACATATTTTTCGAATATAGAGGTTTTTTTAGACCTAAAATCTTACTTTCGCAAAAATAATTATTGAAAATCGGTCAGATAACTAACATTACAAATGAGAGTCAAATACAGAATATTTGAAAGAAGACAGATGATATCAATTGTTTTCATTAGCGAAATAGTTATTTATACCCAGGAACCAAGGTGCAAAATATTTCAATCATTATACAGATGATCTGCATATAGGATTTCCAATGTGTATTGAAGATAGTTACTGTAGCCTGTCGACCACCACAAAATATAACAGATTATAAGCGATGGATAATCAAGTATTCAACTGGACTGAGCCTGCTAAAAGAAAAGACAAACGATCTAACCACATCTAACAATGAAGTGGAGACAAACCAATGTAGATTGGTCCAGTTGAATTCTGGATTATCAATCGTGTATATGTTATATTTTGGTCGACTGGCTTGCGAAACCTGTATGCCGATAAATTTGTTCTTCATCTATATTACCGTAACAAACTGAATCATATAAATAGATCATTCATTGTATAAAAAGAAATACAATTTTTATTACCAGACTTTGAATTCGAGTTGAAAATCGGGAAAATAAACTGAAGAACCTATGAAAGCGATCGTATCTTATTCTAATGACTATTTCACACATCTCAAAATTCTCACATGAAGAGTAGAGTAGAGTAGTTTATTTAACCATGTTACATTATACAGATAAGTTTATGGCAGTTCAGAGAAATACAGTAACAATTATTGAAACTAAAATGAAATAAAATTGCATTAAAAATTCTATGAATGCTTAGTGCCAATAATTCACATAAATCTAGAACTTGAAAAGTAAATAAATTACGAGAATTACGAGAGTTGATAATTAGAAGTTATACAGATGAAAAAATATAGACAAACAAATTTAATATTAAACAGTGACCGACAGTAACCTATATCTACTAAATATCTACTAAATAGAGTCTATACTCTATTTAGAGAGAGAGCTGGCAATGTGACCAATTACAAGCCAAAGACAACTTGTATTATCTAAAAACACTAGCAGTCGTTCAATTCTTGATTGGTCTATCAGCGTTAGTGTTTTCAACGATGTAACTATGGATAGAGTGAAACTTAAAAGAGTTTGATTATCCATATTTTTTTTAGTGAGAGTTCGAGGCGCGAATAAGAAGTTTATTGTTGGTAATCTCAAACAAAAAAGAATATGACTAGTCCAAGTGGGGCATTTCAGTGATAAGTGTAAGAACAACAAGCAAACATAAGCATTAATAGCACCCCGGAGCCATCCTACACACGCGAAACCACCCGACATCAAAATAAATAAATACAGTGATGAGGATACCGGTCCTTTTCTCGTAATCATCGAAAGTGGAAATAATCAAATAGGGAACCTGCACCCAATCTCGGTAGGAAGAAAACTAAAACACAAAATCAATGGAATCAAAAGCATCACCAAAAAGGAAAGAAATAGAGTAGGAATAAAATTCACAAACAAAGTGTCAGCCAACAACTTCTTGAACAATAAAATCTTAGAGATAAACCAATGGGAAGCCTTTATCCCTCTCTCATTAGTAATTCCAAAAGGCCTAGTTATGGGCAAATAACTGGAAACTACCATGGAGGAACTGGTAAAAGAGGGTAGATCAGCATGTAAAATTCTGGCTGCCCGAAGATTTAACAAAAAGGTAATCACCAAGGGAATCACTACCTAAGAATCCTCAGAAACAGTAGTAATTACATTTCAAGGCGAGAAAAACCAACAAAACATACAAATCAACTACTATGAAGCAAGAGTCCAGGTGTATGTACAGTACAGTACAGTACAGTGTTCTACAGTATATGAACTGCTTAAGGTTTGGACACTCAAAAAAAAAAACTATTCAAGAGCAAAACCAGATGTCCCAAGTGCACACTGGAGCATGTAATCACCCAATGCGAGGAAGCAACACCCATGTATAAACTGTAAACAAGAACATCTAGCCACATATAAATGAATACACCAACCAAAAAACCATTAAAGAAATGATGGCACAAGACTTCCCAAGGTTAAACACCCCTCAACCACTCAAACTATAGAGGTAAAGACGGTCATTTTTAAACCAGGACACAATGAGAACAATATAACAATATTCCCAGGTCCTCAACATACGAAACGAAAAAGAAAACCATATTCTCCTCCCACAGCTTATGATGTAGAGGAACATAGAAGAAACCTAATCCCCACCTGCAGATCGCCAAGAACAGCTAGCATGAAGCCATACTCCCCAGCAAATGATGCAGATCATTCTAGCATGGACACTCACCCTCTAAATATAGTAGACCTGCTTAGAGAAGTGCTAAAAATGACAACGCTAACAGAAACAATAAGGGTCAAAGTCCTGGACGAAATCAAATCAGTAGCAAACACTTACACGCTCATAGACCCAACCAATACAGACATGGAAACACAAGAAATAGGGCCGAAAAGCCCAAAAACGGATGGCGACTATCACTAGCACATATTCCCCAAATGCACAAGGCACAAGGACACTCAAGCCTAAAAATAGTTCAATGGAATATCAGAAGTGTAAACTCAACAAGATCAACCTAGCACTTATAATACATGAAGAGAACCCAGACATAATATTACTACAATAAACTTTTTTGAAACCACACCACAACTTTAAGGAGAAGAGCTACAACATAATCAGGGAAGACAAACCAACAGGCGACAAATAAATGGAAAATGATAGGAAATAATGAAGCAAACACAAACGAGGAGCTTACAAACACAATAAAGGCAGCAACGGGAATCGCAGTACTGAAGTAACAGTATCACCCCGCAAGAAAGGAAAAAAATAACCCCCCAATCTGGTGAGACGAAGAAGGTACAAATATTATCAAGGAAAGGAGAATAAAGGTGAACAAGTACATGAGAAACAGTAACGATGACAACTACCTAGCCATGAAAAAGTTCATAGCAGAGACCCGAAAAATTCTCAGAAAAAAGAATAAAGACAGCTTTACAAAATTCTACGAAATCTAAGCAGAGACACTAACATAGCTGAAGTCTGGAGGAAAATTAAATCCGTCAAGAACAAACATCTTTCCCACCACCCAAGAAACGAATTCATCAACCACAACCTACGACAATTCCTCACCCATATCACAATACCAGATATCCCCAGAGAATATGAAAAAAACACACCAGGGGCAAAAAATAGTCACCCCTTCACCCTTATAGAATCACTGATAGTATTAGAAGACAGACATCGCCCCGAGATAAATGATGAACTTATTTACTCCCAACTAGAACACCTTCCACCGGAAGGACAAACCAAACTTCTGAAAATCTACAACAATGTAACCAATGGAGGACACATCCCAAAGAAATGGAACACATAATTTGCCCCATACTGAAACCTGGAAAGGATCCAAACCACATCAGTAACGTAACTACAGACTCATTGCTCTCTCATCATGTCTATGCAAGGTACTAGAATATTTTATAAAAACAAAAGAATACCAAGTAGAAAACAACTTCTTCACTCCCTCCAATGTGGTTATAGGAAGGGAAAAAGCATCACAGAAAATCTGGTATGGCTCACAACGACCATATACAGGGTGATTCACATAACAACCGACATAGAGCAGGGGCATGTAGGGGGTCCCAAAATATGGCAATTTAACGCAACTTACCTCTATAACAAGTTGCTTTCCTAAGAAGTTATAGGCTTTGAAAGTGAAGTTATAAATTATGAAAAAAATCATTATCTCCGTTATTTGGTACACTTTGTGGATGTATTTAGTGCGTTACTTGACAGTAACTAGAGTTCAATTGAAATTTGTAAAGGGGGTATACCGGGTGGCGCAACATTAATATTCAACAGAATTTTGTTAACCCTTGATGGATTTTAAAAATCTTTGCTTTGTTTTGTGGGCAATTCAATTCTTAAACTTTTCTTACTCTAGTAATTTTTCGAAAAACCTCATCATTTTTATCAAAAACTCGAATAACTGAAAACGCGCGCTCTAGGTGTGTTATTTAAAATCATCGAAAATTCAAAAGTTGGCTATGAAAATAAACGTCAAACAAGAAAGTAGGTAATTTAATGTGATCAGTAGAAATTGGCTGGCAAATTATTATTTAGATACGTAATAAAATACGTAAAGTAAGTACAGATACTGAAATGTGAAAAACTGGGATTAACAACTAACCAAAATGAACACAAAAAACTTAAACAACAAAAGAAATTGTTCAAGTAATTGTTCAAAATGATCGCCGCTAGTGGACGACGTAACCACCACAACCTTCACCAAGAAACTCTCGCAAATGAATATCCCGCAAAAATTATGATAAATATTACAGAACAATTACTCAGCAACCGACCAATGAACACATTTACATAAACAACCATCAGATCGTTGTCAACGAAATAAAAGACTTTTGCATAATTTTGGACAGAAAGCTCACATTTGAACGTCACATTGAATTTACAGTCAGAAATGCTTTGAAAACATTGTGTTTTATCCTACATAGTACTCAAGACTTCAGAAATCTAATTTCGATTTTAACAATGTACAAAACTTTAGTGAGACCTATCCTCGAGTATAATACCGTATTATGGAATCCTGTTTATGACAAATATGTTAAACGATTAGTCTGTCCATTTAAATCATGCAGTGAATCTTGATTTCTACAAATTGGAACCATTATTCTTGAGACGCAAATTCTGTTACTCATCTTTTGTGTTCAAACTTATAACCAATCTCACTGACTCAGAATTATGCTTGCAACAACTGTC